GGGGAACAAACATGCAACCCGGGGTCATCGGGATGGGGACTTCGGTCCCCAAAACCAATTTTTTGGGATCAAAAAAAATTCTGAGTGCCCAAAATTTTGAGGAAAGGCGCCCCCTTTGCTCAGGAAAACGATAAACCCCCCCCCCCCCCCCCCCCCCCCACCCACTTACTTACACATCTGAATCCGCTACTTACCACTGGCATGTAGCGTTATCATGTACTATAACTTTGGATTATTTAATCAACTTCCATACGTCTTGTACATGAAGTAGAACCCGAATTCAAAGATGTGTGTGACAGTTGATTTTGGCGCCAAACATTCAACACCCCTTGGTTACGTGGCTCTGTTTGTAAAACAAAAAAGGTAAACTCGCGCGTGATGGCATTGGCAAACCTTTAATAGGACGTCTAGTCGAACAATAGCGTTCCCTGTCAAGCAAGTAGGACGATCTTTATTTCGCAGAAAGGCAATGGATCAATTAGTTCTTTAGTTGCAGCATCCTGCTGTATTAAGGGGGCATTCTGGTTGTTTTTGACTTGATTTTGATTAGGGAAGGAAGTAAATTAGAATAGAAAAGGTGTACACATATACCAGCTAGTCCGCTAATGGGATAAGAAGCACCTTGTTGTGGTATCTGTTATTTGTCTACTAATTATCCACTTCATTTTTTTATTTTCAGCAACCCCCAGATCCAATATTCTCCAAAAGTTAAACATCAAAATCACGCATATCGCTGAATTTTCGGTAGTAAGCCAAACATAACAAGGGAGAAATTGAAGAAACCAATTACAATGGCGACTCTCGAAACTAACGGCTAGTCTCTCATGTTTATGCCCGCCACATATCCCTTATAGTCCACTCTCTTAACGGGCATGTCTATAAGACGGACACCTCTGTAAAACGGACACCGGACACCAGACACCTAGAGTTGGTCCCTTTCTTCTTTGCCTCCTTTTTCAAACATTCTATCGGAGGGACTTCTAAATGAAAAGACTTGACATATAGAAATGACTCTCAAACCGCGCGTATCAGCCTGAGCACTTACTCTCATATGCGAATGGGAAAAACTTTAGTCTTCATAAGCAACTGATCGTATGACCGTTTTTAAGGGCCTCACCAAACATGTCAAACAAGCACACACACAGAATAAAATCGGAAATAAGAGTTGGCTGCTTCTCGCTTCCTACTGATTGGGTAACCTGTGGTCAGTCTTCAACTAGGCACCAGCTTCCTCTCCTTCCCAATTTAACATGGCTGTCATTGCGAAGGTTTACCTGGTTTTGTACAATGTCATTCTTACTCTTGGGTAAGTAGGAGTTTATATCCTTTCAAGTTTTTACAATGGGTGATCTTATTTATATCTGCCACATTACGATAAGAGATCAATTTTGAGCAAATCGAGATGCAAGAGAATGATTCAGCGCGTGGTTTTGGTGTCGACTTTGCTCGCGCCGGACCGTGATCAGCTAGCTCTTTGTGAGTACAGTATTAAAAACAAATCAAGCTTCGGCTTGCAACAAACATGGTGCACTGAAGTTATGGTTTCTTTGGTTTTTCAGAGGCAAATGTCAAATACAGTTAAATAGCATGGAATAAAATGCTGTTGGGTTTTCAGCTAGTCGAGTTGCGACATAACTTTGATGCGCGCTCTCAGGTGTCAGAACGCGCATCAAAAATTGAGTCAGTTCTTCTCCGGCCGCTCTCAGCTGCATTTTGCAGTTTTTTTAGTATAATTTTCTTCAGAAGTTTGTTTCACCCTACTCCAGCTCATGGATAAGTTATCATGAAAACACGTTCACGAGTTATCATGAAAACCCTTACTGTATATTAGGATGTAAAACCTTTCTATAATCAACCTTTGATAGGCACAACTTTCGTGCGCAAGAGTTAAGCTTGTCTCTTTTGCGGTCATCTAAAATATAAGCAGTAATTTCACTTAAATGTTCTCTTCATTTGTAAATTTTAATGTAGTGAGCTTTCGTTCGAGAAACATTTTATGCAAGAACGAAGAAAAAGAAATGCTATTTTGCATGGTGGACACATTGACTGATCATAATGTGACCTAGCCAGTGGTGATCATGTGATAAATAAGATCTGAGCACAATAATCAAATTCCAGAGATCAACTTTAGTTATTTTTTTATTTTTTTGCTTTTAAATAGTAATGACTATGCCTAATTAAACAGAACGGCATTGTAACTTTTATGAACATCCATGTACACTGTTTTCTTATAACTGAAATTAAAATGTTTTAAAACTAATTTCCATTTTTTATTCCTGTCAATGTGAATGCAAATATCAATCACAACTTAGAAGGTTTATGCCTGTCAATTAATTCTTACCAATAAAGCAAAAATCCTGTTGGAATATGAATAACCTACATATAGCCTAATTTGAAGCAGTAAATTGACAAATGAAGACAAACCATATTTACATTTCACTGTCCTTTTGCAATTTTTTTTTTCCCGGATAACCTCAAAGATAAAACAACCAACACTTTAACTTGTCAAGAGTGTGGTGTTTCTTTGCATCATGTGAAGGTGAATCTCATGCTATCTTCTTATTCATTCATTGGCTGTCACACTCATTACCCTTCAAACTAAAGAACCAATTAGGATTTACCTTTACATGTATGTTAAGGTTGCAACACTTCCAAGAGAGTAGGACATTTGTCACTGTGCAGTGTATAAATATGCACCAAACATATAATTTTAACACTATTAAAGGGCTTATTGTCACAACAAGGTGTAATGAATTTCATTATTTTCTGTAGGTGGAGCGTTATTTTAGTTCTCTCAGTGCAACACTTAGTGAAGAAGAAGTCTCACATAGGGCTGTATACCTCTGTAGAGAAACCACTCCAGGTCTTTCAATCAGCAGCCATACTGGAGGTATGTACAGTGCACAAATTTTTAAATACCTGCTTAAAACGTTGCTGAATCTTAGTATGATTATGGGGTCATTGGATTAATCATCACAGCGAAGAGTTTCAAAGCAATGTGCCTAACTCATCTTTTTTCTTATCTCCCAGGTATTGCATTGTGCAGTAGGTGAGTGATTTCTCCATACTATGCAGTAGTGATATAATTGCTATCATGATAATTTCTGTGTGTTATTAATGTTATTGTTGTTATTGTTGTGTAGCCACGACAAAATAAAAAACTGTGTATAGTCTCTTGTGCATGTACATGTACATGACTGTACACAGATACATGACTATATTATTTTTGTCTTTGAGAGTGAACTTGTTACTATATGAATAAGGAAGCATAACTATAGTTAGGGTACCATTGTTTCTCTTCTCGCTCACTAGTCACTTCGTCAGATTAACCCAAGGAAAATTTCATCCAAATGTGCTTAAAAATTTTGGGGACCACCCACACAGCTGGGGACAACCCATGTGGCTGATGTGGACTCTGTTGACTTTTCCTTGCATGGTTGCAATTTGAAAACTCGTTGATACATTGTTTTTTTCCGGGAGTATTTAAAACTCACAACAACAAGGATGCAAAAAAAGTCGATTCTAGAGAGCAAAAGAAAACAGTTTTTCAAAATTGCAAGTTTACTGGCCTTAATTAAAAGAAAGTCAAGACAGCGCTTCTTGCAAACACTAGGGAAAACTTACTACAACAATGTCACAGCTTTTTTTTTCTGTATTTTATTTCCCTGAAATGCTGTTGGGGTGGCGGGGGGGAGGGGGGAGGGATTGGTAAACAAAAATGGTCTGGGTTAGTACCTGTAAAATGAAATCGCAGAATGTGACTCAACCCGATGGCAAGCCTTCCAGAAATTAAGTTTCCAACCCTGGAAATGAAGTTATGTATTATCACATCCCCCTCATTGCCCTGCACTTGGCTTAGCCTGGCATATATTTCTGATACATGCATAGGTGTGGGTTAATTATTTTTTGTTCCCTATTCTATTCTCCAGTGGTTTCCCTTCGGTTTCCTCCCTTGCCCACGCTTGTGAAGAAAACCTACCTTACTTAAAAATCCCAATTTGATGTGGAGCACACAAACACTCATAGGTTATTCGTTAATTAAATAGAGCTCCACAAAAAGGTTGGCAATTGGAAGAATAATATTACATTGATGTTCATCGGCAGGATTATTATAAATGATTGTTTTAAATAATAATGTAAGGGTTTGCCAGTGATGTCTCAATGTATGTTTTTCTGCAGGTCTGGTGCCATCTTCAGTTGTTTTAACTGCATTTCAAGTTGCCTCCAGACTCTTTCTTACTTGGGCCATTGCTTATAGCGTTCCACAGGTGAGTAGGCTGGTGCGGGTCGGGCAGCCCATCATCAACTAAGTCCTTACCCCCCTTGATATGCACAGCGCACCTGGGCCCAATCTGTGACTGATGTGGTCTGTGTGATTAGTGAGGTCAGACTGGATAGGACTGGATAAGAATTGTACATAACAAGTACAACCATGCATTGAATTTGAGAAGAAAAAAAAACAACAACAACAACAAAAACAATTATAGTGATGACTGGATTAGACAGATATTCAGAAAGTCATTCTGGTAGTTAGTTAGTTAGTTAAATGTAGCTTGGTCGAGCACTAGCTTAGACAAAATGGATTCTTCCCCACCAGTCAGGTTGGTCTACCATTGCTTTTCTGAGTTAACTGATAATGACGAACACAGTGTCCTCAAGCAGAGTGTGAATATACGTGGTTCTAGGTCTTCCTCTCGTAGTTTTTCCTTGTTGCGGCTGCCACATCACAAGCTTCGATTCCTCCTTCTGTGGGCTTTGTGTCTAACCCAATGCCTAGCTACTCTCATTCTTCTTTCTCTCATCTTGCTAGAAAGCTTCCGTACAGATCTTCAGTTGAGATGTGGCCCCTCGAAGCATCCGAGTATAGGCGCCATCATTTTTTTCCTCTGATTAGTACCATTAACTGACGTGATACAACTCACTTTGACTTTGAAGATGACTACAAGAACAACAGTCCTATTTAGGACCCCAGGGGGGTACTCCGGATTTCAAGTGACAGGAATGATCGAAGGATTGTTTTGGGTTTGAAATTTTCGTTTTCGGGAATTTTTTTGGGTAGGAAAATTTTGGCAAGTATTTTTTTGGGTAGCTTGTTTGAAGTAGGGATTTTTTGGGGTATTCAAAAGAATCTAAAGATGCGCGATAGTTCCGCGAAACCAAACTTGTTTTAATATTTAACGCATTACATTGCATCTTTTTTTCACTGCATCATAAAACCGGTTAATAGAATATGTTCTTGGGTGTCTCGAGTGTTGTTACAATGACCAAAAGATGCGAAAAAGGTTCTTTCTCCAGATGGTGTAATGAATAAACAAACACAAACATTCCATTACTAATGTTTCTGTTTTTCGTGTCGTGTCATTTAATGCTTTCTGCAAATTTTCATGGCTCGGAAATTCGGCATGGGATTTTTGGGGGTTAAATTTTGGTCCAAGGATTTTGTGGGTTTTGTTTGAAGCCCTAGAGATTTTTTGGGTTTTGATTTTTACCCTCATTCAATCATCCCTGTCACTTAAAATCCGGAGTACCCCGCCTGGGCCGAGTTGTTCAAAGCTGGGTTAAGATAACCCAGGGTTAGGGCTAGATTTGAAATCAGATTTGAAAGCTTAAAAAGCACTTCAGTCTTTTGGTCTAAAAGTTGATGATTGGGAGCTCTAAAAAAAACAGAGAATTATCCGAGAAAATTTTTTTAAACACAAGAAAAAGAAACTCGGGTTAAATTTAACCCCGAGTTAAGCGCTAACCCGCCTTCGAAGAACCGGGCCCTGGGTTCTACCTCATCCGGACGATCATGCTCCACCTACTTATGAAATAACTCCTGGGTTCAAACCTTTCATACTTAACGTATAATTGTGTTTACTTTGTTTAGATTCACGACAGTCCTGGAGTTACTGCTTTCATACTAGCATGGTCCATTACAGAAGTTATTCGTTATGCTTTCTATGCATTCTCTTTGCTCGGTAGTCTGCCTTATTTTCTTCAATGGTGCAGGTTGGTCATGTTTTTACTGCTTGTATTGTTTAGCAAACANCTAGCATGGTCCATTACAGAAGTTATTCGTTATGCTTTCTATGCATTCTCTTTGCTCGGTAGTCTGCCTTATTTTCTTCAATGGTGCAGGTTGGTCATGTTTTTACTGCTTGTATTGTTTAGCAAACAATCAATGTTAGATTCTGAACTAAAATGCTCTCTGCTATCATGAACCATTTGGCAAGAAACAGTCGCGTGCAACAAGATACTGCTGCATTAGCCTCCTCCTCCTCAGGCGCGGAGGCGAGCGCGAAACGCGAGTCACACGCAAGTCACACGCGGGGGATTGGTGACGAAGCGCAAGGGACCACGGAGAGGCATATGAGTACGAGGCAGCTGCTGCATAATTTACTCCACGAAATAATAAACTTAGATTATGGCATTGATCGTGCCACACAAATTTGCTTGTGAAGACAAAGTGGAATAAGAGTATGAGCATTCGCAATCAACCACACAAGATGAATGAGAACTGCACTGCAGTAGTCACTAAATAAATAAATAAACTTGGGTGTCCTTTCTCCTGTATTTTGAAGTTTCCGTAAAAACAAACAAACAAACAAACAAAAATGCCAGTCTTCGCAGATCACATACAGTGGCCTTCTTTAACGGGCATTGTATCTTAATTCCACTTATCATGCACATAATTTTCGATTAAGAGCACTTGTCAATATATAAAGTCGTGATGAAGATGCTGATCTAGTTCAGTTTAAGCTGTCTGAGATTTCGATTTTAATATCCTATTTGTTTATTCTAGATATACCTTCTTCTTTATTCTTTATCCCATTGGTGTAACGGTGAGTAAAGTAATACTGTAACTTAATGTTTTATGTTTTGAGAACATGATATGAAGCAGTCACGGAACGATGATTATTCTACTTTCTTGGTGCGTTTTTACGGGAAAATTCATGTATCTTGAAAACAGATTTTGTGTTCTTTTACTAAGTTCGAAAACGGATTTGGTTGTGAATCCAAATCTAAAAACATTTTTGGTACCTTTTGTGCATTTATGGACATAAACGATGTCGTTTACACGTTTTTCTTTTGCCCACCGAAACAGGTGCATGTAGAGAAGCGAGACTATAGTACTGACACAGACGAACACAAAATGTAGCAATTGCATAACCCTGGACAGAGGCGGATCCAGGATTTTTCGTAGGAGGGGGTGCACTACTAAGGAATGGCGTAGTTGACTGGTGACGAAAACAAATTTTAATAACGAATACGAAGAAGAAGGCTTTCGACTAGGCAATAACATAATGTGAACTGCTGAGAATACATATCAAATGATAAAGCAGATTTTGCATAACTGTGAAGCAGACTGCACAGTGTTAATTAGAAAGCCGCAGGTCATTTCAGGGGGGGGGGGTGCGCACCCCTGCACCCTCCCCCTAGATCCGCCCCTGCTGGATAAAGAGTAAAAAATAAATAAATAAATAAATAAAAATGACGAAAAAAGTAACAACAATAACAAAACTCTAAATGCAGATTATCAAAATGTCTCATTGTCAAAATGTAACAAAAAAGGGGAAGGTTATTTATACCTTGCTTATTTTATTGATTTTCAGGGCGAGCTTGTGTCAATATATTCTTCACTTCGTTACGTATCCAAGTCTGGTTTGTACAGCGTGTCCATGCCAAATGCTGTTAATTTCTCCTTCGATTTTCATCTCTTCCTCATTATGGTGATGTTGTCTTACATTCCAAGTAAGTTCCAGATGTCCTTGTTGTCTGTGCAACGCCAAAACCGGTTTTCCCTCGGAAACCAGTGGTGACGTCTTGTTTTCAACTGACGTCTGACGAACGTGCACATAAATTTCATAGTTATGACGTTTCACTTCGCAGATATGGGTTTAGTAGAAGTTCTCAATGTGGTTGACCGTCATCCGTCAAACGGATTAAGACGGAATTTATTAGGAAATTGAGTAATTTTAATCTTCAGTGGACAAAAACCTTGTACCAGCATAATTTTAAAGCATATTGCATTCTTTTTTTACATTTTTGAACGGCTATAGATGTAATTAGTTATCTGTAATAACACCAAAGAAAATTTCGCATGGGAGTACGAGAACATAACTGTTCTATTGGTACTGGCTCGTCCTCCTCGTCAGTATGGAATTTCTGCCCCCAGTCTTCAGACGTCATTTCTCGGGGAAACCAGTGGTGACGCCGCTAAATGTCAGCTGTTTTCTCAGGCTGCGGTGTCCTGGGTTTTAGATACTTAAAGGACGTGTATTATTATCATTGTACAGTACGATTAACTTTTAGTTTTCTCAAAGCTCTCAAGAATTAAAATAATCAAATAAAGTAAGCCGTTAATTAAAACAAGCAAAAATAGCCAGTTAAATGTATACTGGTAGCTATTTTATTAAATCGTGAAGGGTGTATATGTGCAGGAAATGTGTACGGCATATTATGTATTGCTTAAGTACTTGTAGCGCGTAACGTTCTTACAGTGAATGTATTTATGACTGAATATTCTTGTCTGAATATTCTCTAATGTGCTTTTCTTGTGTGATCATTTGCAGTTTTCCCTCAACTCTACTGTCACATGATCCGCCAAAGAAGAAAAGTGATCGGTGGAAAAAAGAAATCTGTGTAAATCCTTGGCTACTAAAATAACGGCATGTGCCCTAACAACCGATACAGCCAGTAACGGCTGGTTCTCCTTAGAAAATACAAGTTCTTGACAGTGCAGAACAGTTTTTTTTTAAACGGCAGGGAAAAATAAAAATCTAGAGTTTGTTACGGTTTGATTTCAGTATTTTGTCATGTTATTTGAACCTCGGCTGTGCGAGAGCAAAGGGATTTTATGGGATTCGGTAGTTAAAGGGACAGGTTCACGGTTCAGCGCATGCTCATCAATTAAATTACTTTTTTCCAATTTATTATTAAATGTATATCAGGGATCTCAGAGTGTATTTCAAAGTAGAAGTGTATTTCAGAGTAACCTGAAGTGGGATGGAGGAGTACTAAAATGGCAGAAAAATTAGTGGATTATGCCAACACTACCAACGTTGAATTTATTGTTGACCCGAAGGTTTTATTCCATGTTTGATTAATTTACAGCTATTTGCACCTAAGTTGATCAAGTGACTGTGTAGATTGGTTCTTTGACAACATTATGACATGATCATATTGCTTTCATAGACGAAACAGCATGTCCCAGCAGAAAAACAGCATTTTACTTAACGAGCGTGCGCTAAACCGTGAACTTGTCCCTTTAAAAGTCGTCTTCGTCCTGTACTATAGAGCGTTTTTACTCACGTGACCAGCACCTATGCAAATTTATTAGGACAAAACAAAGCGTTTACATAAGAAAAGAGTTGAACTCCCAGAGGATTTGTTTGAAACACCAACATTGCCGTCATTTCATTGTTTTGGAACACCAATATGGCCGCTGTGACGTCATGTGAAAAACGCTCTCTATATAGGCAGTCCCCTCGTCAGTCCCTTGTGACCGTGGTTCCGGCGTCTCCTCTACTTGCCCACTTGAGTATTAGTAATCCCTCGGGTTCGTCGCACGGGCCAGTCTCTTGGGCGAGTCTGCTTGGCTTACGTACTCGACTATACTATTGGTAGTCCCTCGGGATCAGTGTTGCTCTGGCAGTCCGCTCTGCCTGCCAGGTTTTCGCTCGACTGATGGCATGTTTTAGGTCTTAGGAGAGGGAGGGAATAATGGAGAGGATAGCCCCGAAAGAATGGACATCTCCCACCTCTCCCCGTATCTTGTCTGCGCAGTTCCTACCGTGTGAGCGCTAGAGCAGGCTACTCGAAGGACTGAATTTTTCTGGTTCGTTCCTGAACCCCCGATATAGACTGTATGACGTTCGGTACCAACGTCGCAAGTGACAAGTCTGGCTGCAACTCATGCTAACCTTTGAAGAGCCAATCTGGCCAAGTATGTATCAGTTATCTATCCAGGCCCTAAGAGCTCGGGCTGCACTATAATCTTCTAGACATTACAATATCCGTAAAATCTTAAGGCGTTAGTGACAATCACTTCACCTCACCTCTCTTGCTTTTCCCATCTCATATTATTTTTGCTGTTGTTTAGAACGTAGAACACTGAACGTTTACCAGTAATCATAGGTTTTTAAATTTTAGTTTGTGTGTGTGTGTGTGAATAGGGTGTGGGCATGATCTCAGGCCGATGTGCTGGTCATTAGGAAACTTAAGCAAAGACGCTTTTGAACGACCAACGTCAACCGGAAGTGAGGCCTTCTCCCATTTAACATGCCTAAACGCTACCATAATTGTACTGTTAAGTGTCCTTCCTCTTGTAAGTACGATTTGCTGAACATTCTGGTAAAACCACTGCCCAATGATGCAAAAAGCCCGCTTCCGGTTCACGAGCGTCGCTCAAAAACGTTTTTGCTTAAGCTCTCTCTTGACCATAAATTATCCCCGTCCATCAATATTCTTGAGAATTTTTATTTAAACACCCATGATTGAAGCTGAAAATATCTAATTTACTCTTAATAAATTTTTTTAAAGTCCATTCCTTGCTTGTAGCTCTAGCTATTGAATCAGTCACAGGACCCTCGCTCTCTAAATTCACGTTGTTTTAGAGGGTTTAACAATCAACTAATGTCCCATTAGTAAGCCATTTATTGACAGCATTCATATATATTGGGCTGTAGTTAAGGTTTGAACGGGTAAATAATTCTCCAATATTATTTTTCTCCCGAACAGTAAGATATCTTCACCCTCACATTTTCAAGTTTACCGGAGACTTCTATGAGACTCGTCGCAGATATAATAGAAAGACGCAGAAAATAGAGGGCGCTCTTTTTGCATAAATTTGCGGTCGCTATTGACAACACATGATTGGCTGTCAAAGGTGGACAACTGTCGGTGCATGAATATTCATAATTTACCGCCACGGATGTGTTGTGGAAGATGTTTTGAGGCGGGTGTTCCAATGATTTTCTCTACATTCTTAGCGAAGCTTTTTCTTTCATGGGCCGGCTAAGTCTTCTGAATTTTTCCAAGCTTGAGCTTTTGAAGGGTGAAGCTTCAAAAGAGTCGACGAGATGACCGAAAACGGCAAAGGAAATGTAGACTGGAGCAGGTTTGGTTTAGACCCCGTCGGTCAAAGCTCTCCACCGCGATCGAATAATCACGATCCGTCAAGTTTAACTGCCAGTGGAAGCACAGCCAGTGGAAATCCTAATGTTAAAGACCTTTTTGACGAAGAACAGGTAAAAAAATGCCAAATGCAAATTTTAACCCTAAGTGATTTTGAAAGTGACTTGTGTATTTCTACTCGCGACTCGAGTCGATATCGCGATTGTTCTCGATCGCTTTCTCGTTCGAAAGATTATCACTTTGTCGATTTCACCCAGGGCTCGTGTGTATGTATAGAAAAGCAACTAAGTCGTTAAATTTTAAGGAAAATTCAATCAAGGAATTGAGTAAATCGAGTAGTTAAAAGAGTTTTCACTCTGTACGTGTCTGGTTTTGTACGTCTAAACTTATTTTCTATTAACCTGGGTCATGAGCTTGTGTGTGGTTGCCGGACTACAGCTGCCCATGATGGCTTATTTGATTCACATGTGAAATGTCCCACATATTTTGATTTGTACCTGAAAAAAATAGTTTGTTCTCTTATTATCGTAACGATTACTTTATAAAAGAAATTATCAAAATTTTTAAACGAGAAAATTTTCATGCTTCCGCGGTTGTCAGTAAATAAGGAAATGGCGCAAAACCACATTTTGTCCGCGATTGATGTTGAACAAAAAATGAAATTATTTGAGAATGTAGAAGCCACAGCACCACAGCACTTAGAAACACGGGTTGGCTGTGCGAGGAATATTCACTTCGTTTTTCCCTTAAACTTCATCAGAAGAACTTTAGTTTAAAAACTCCGAACATTAAATTTACGATGCGTGTCGCAAAAATGCAAATCTATTGGAAACAAGTATTTCACGGATCACGGGCGCAAGAAATAAGAGTTTAATTACATTAAGTTTATTTGTTATTACGATGCCTCAGCCAGTATTTCGGTAGCATAGTTGGTTTTGTTTGTGATTGAAATAATATTATACACGTTCAGTGCTTTATTTTTAATATAACCTTGATATAAATTTCAATATCGGGTATATTTACAATATAGTAATGTATTCCATGCATTTTTCTTTATACTTGTAATAGCAAATGGCACAGAATAAATATTAAATGACTATTGAAAAAAATAAATATTTGTCCTGAAGAGGCTTTGAACCTGTAGCCACCCCTCCACACTTTGAACAAGGCATGTTTTAGCCATTGATCACCAATACAAACCAAAGTTCAGATGATTTAATTGTTTGGGTTGAAAAAATCATGCAAAGTCAAATGTTCAATTTTGTCATATGCGAACAATATGCCATTTGCATGATGACGTCTTTTTACTACTAAGACCAGAATTCATTTCCTTTTTTTTTTCATATAAATTTACAGAAAAGCAAATTTGGTAATCCCAGCGAGGCTTAAATAACAAAAGCCCTAAAATTATTTGTGCAAGGAAGCAAAACACTGTAGGATTCTGGTAGTAGTAGTAGTAAAATGACACCATATATGGCCCCTAATGGTAAAATGGCCCATTGATATCTTGTTTTTTTTGGTTTATTTGGTGATATGTTTGTTTGTTCTCTGTAACCTTAGGGAGGTCAGGTATCAGATAAACCATGGTGGAAGGCAAACTTCTTCGTGAGGGAGCCAGTGCTTTTTGGAACGTGGGATGGTAAGTTTGGGGAGAGTACTTTTATGTTAGTACAGGCAGTTATTGGGGGAGGGGGAGTTTCCTTATGATTTTTTTATGGTTCAAACTGTACCAACTAAACATTCCCAAAAAATGTTTGCTTAAATTAACTGAAAGCAACTTTATCCTTATTTTCAGGTGTATTTACAAGTTGCATGCTGAACATTTTTGGAGTTGTTATATTTCTGCGGACAGGATGGGTGGTGGTATGTGTATTTTTATTTATTTATATGTTTTTTAATTTTTTTTCTGATGCATGCATGTAGTTGATACAGGTGTAAATCCTTTGCTTTGAGTATAAAATGATCAGACTTAAAAAAGTTTTGTAGTTTTTGCATTTCTTTCTCAAATGAACAGCTTTGCAAGGAAGGAGAGAGGTTTTGTAAGGCCTCACTTTTATTTTTTTATTATTATATTATTTTAATTTTGTTTCATGTTTTAATGTACATAGCACAGTTAAAGGTGTATGCGTGCATGCAGACAGTAAAATTAATTTTACTTCTGCATCTCTTATTAAACTTTGCTCTGCTCATCCTCTTTAATTTTCTTTATTCATTTCATTGCTTTCTATAATGCTTCAAATTAATCTAATATCTGCCGAGTCTGTTTTCAAAAGTGCATCTTACTCTGCAGGGCTTAAAAAAATATTGAATAATTTCTGCTCTCACATTTTGCTTGCTCTGCACAGGGCCACTTCTTGCTTGTCGTCAGTGCTAATTTTTTAGGGGATGATTTGCTTGGACCCTTGCCCATTCAGGGCAAGTAGACTTTAAAAGTTACTCTCCCAGCAAAAATTCTGCTTGTCCCAGACTACTGGAAGGGCTTTTTTGAGCCCTGCACTAGTGCAGACAATTAAATTTTAAAAGTTTTTTTTTTGGGCAGGTAAGTAAAATGACAGAACTGTTCTAAGTTGTTTCTTTCTTCTTTTAATTGTAGGGAAATGCTGGTATCGGTTTATCTCTACTGATTATTGTCCTTACTCTTCTGGTTGCACTGGCTCCTGCCCTCTCTGCTATCGGCATCTGTGAGAGAACCCATGTTGAGAGTGGAGGGGTATATTTTCTGCTGGCACATGTTCTGGGCCAGCGAAGCGGAGGCACAGTAGGAATACTTTATATATTTGGAATGGTAAGTGATTAATATAAGAAATCTCTTATACAGTGAATGATTAATTTTGTTGGATAAGATATGAGCAGAGGAGCTGTGTGGGTGTTTACATAGGCATCACAACCATTGATAAAACCATACAGATGAGGTCAGTCTTTGCATAATAATATTGATAATTTTGCATCTTTAGTGATTTTTATGGGTCAGGTATGCAGGACACGGGTAAAGAAAATGCTATGTACACATACATATACATTGTACATGTACCTTACAAGTGCACAGTTGTCCAGTTGCCTGAGGGCTGTCACCTGTCCTGCCTATAGAAAGTATGTCGGTGATTTCTCTTTAGGTAGGAACAATGAGAAAGGGTGTGTAATCACAAGCTAGAGTAGAGTGGACAAAAAATTACATTTTGATGTATTCATGCAGTCATGATACCTGCAAATACACCCACCTCTCATCACTCCCCATCAGTTAAAAAAAAACATGCAGTCCATTTAATTGATACAGGGTGCTTACCATAAGTTTTACTCAAACCATCCAATTAGAAGTCTTGTGCATAAACATTGACAGCAGTTAAATTTATAACCATGTTAAAGATAGACCAAGTGCAGCTAAATCAGCCGAAGAGTCAAGAAAGATCAGGGGCCTGTTTCTCGAAAGACCTTGGAATGTTTCGGGCTCGGAAATCTGTTTTGTGTTTGCCATGTTACCATTCGTGATCAAAGTTTCAATAATTTTGAAAACGATGCAATAAAACTATCAGTTAACAAAGCAGAATTGGCTGGTTTGTGTGATAGGAACTGTGTTAGCACTATTCAGCAGGTTTTGATTTCAAAATTTTCCTTCGGGCCCGGAAAATTTCCTGGTCTTTTGAGAAACAGGCCCCAGGTTATAATTAGTGTACATCAACTCTAAGGACTGAGTGGCTGACAGAATGTCCCAAATCATTTGAATTTCCTATATCAGAATTTCTTGTTCCCCCACGGCACTTGTACATGTAAGCATCCCGGAGTTAAATATATGTATGTGAATTGTATACAGAAACTCAACACGTGATAATTTAATGAATTTTATCAGGCTGTCAGTATTTCATTATTCTCTACTGGATTTGGAGAGTCCATGGCAGAGACGACAGGCTGGGATAGCCCTTGGGCAGTGCGAGTTATTGGCCTTATTACAGCTCTTATCTTATTGGTTGTTGTCCTTGCTGGTGTCAAATGGGTTGTTAAACTTCAGCTTCTTCTGCTTGCGATTCTGATGCTTTCTGTGCTGGATTTCCTGGTTGGCACTTTTGCACACACAGACTATTGTAAGTGAAAATATGCACTTTTTTAGTGTAAAATTATTATAACAAAGTTACAGTCCAGCTAATTTTTACTTCAGAGATTAGAAAGTCTTAGTCCATTATACATACCTCTATTTTTCATTGAAAAACAAGCAAATTAACAAACTGAGCACAAGAACTGATGTGATTAAGGGCTGACTTGCTGCTATGCATTGGACAGTATACGTACAGTATAATAATAGCCTCAGGGCTTTACTCTAGCAGTGCCCAGTAGCCCATAAGCTCAATCTCCACTCTGACTAATTTCTTGAGTCTTTGGACTGCTGACTCATTTCCCAAATAGCAGCTGGCAATCGAGCATCACTGTCCCTCAGTGCATAACTATAGTCTGTCTACAGGTGCCGCCCCCCCCCCTCCCCTCAGGAAAAAATCCTGGAGAGGGACGACGTCCTTCTCCCCAATTTTTTCTGAGGGGAGGGGGCATCTGTACACAGACTACATAACTTTTGCTCTTGGGCAAATAGGAAATCTTAGGTTTTTGACAAAAATCATTTTTAGGCTGGGCACCTTGGATTTCAGAGTTTACAGCAGTAGGCTCCCTCCACTTTTTCGTAGAGCACAGTCTTAACAGGAGTCACTTGCGAACTCCTATCTTTTAACATGAAACTAAAAAAAATTACTTGTAATAGTAATTACAATTAATAATTCATGTAATTCATGTACTCGTCATTTGGGCTGGGAATTTCTGAAATCAGATGGCTCACCAGCCACCCAGCTTCTGTATATGGTGCAGAAAAGAGGCACTTTCCTAGTACTAGAAAAACAAAAAAGGATTTTAACCTGTAGTGAGGTTTGAGGCAAAGCAACATGCAGTGAGACCTCGTCCCTATGGAGGTTGCATCCAGTGAGTACAAATCTATTTAGATTTTATTTGCATCATATTCACTGCCAATGTTTTTGTTTGTAGCTGCTGGCTTCACTGGCTACAGTGCAGAAAATATGGAGAAGAATTCACCACCCAAGTTCTCTGACGATCAAAATTTCTTTAGTGTGTTTGGCGTGTTCTTTCCAAGTGCCACAGGAGTGTTGGCTGGAATCAACATGAGTGGTGACTTGAAAGATCCGTCAAGTAACATTCCTGCTGGGACACTGGCCGCCCTGGGATTCAGGTCTGTCAGACATGTGGCAGGGTTTGTTTTTCCTTTCCCCAAATATATAATGTATCTCAAAGCACACTACATAGAGACAGTGATAGTCAGTTCGTGCAGGCCTACCGACGTTTTAAGTCATTAAGTTTGATGCATGAATGTTTTATAGTTTTACATACCTAGTGTTCTTGGGTCTTGCTTTTTTGTCATAATTATGTAGTCTTTCGAGACCTGTCACTTTTGAGCAATTAGATAGCTGCGTTCATCATAAACAGCGAACGCAGAGTATTCAAAAATCAATAGCCCGCTTGGTTTGCTCACTTTTACTCGGCGCCCGCTAGTGGCTTCGCTGCCAAAGTTTTCCGCAACCTTACACAAGTGAGCCTGCTTGCAGGCTAGTCTCACTTAGACTTTTGAACCCCATTGCGCATTTGCATGACTACCTGAAAAGCTGTGTCAAAAGTCAAAATTCACAAATTGAATGGAATCTAGTTCAAACAAATAACTGCTAGGGAAGAGGAAATTTTGCTTGAGTAGTTGTATCGTGAGTTCATTTCGGTCAGATTTTGAGCACAAACGCTGCCACGTTAAATAGCCTCCAATTTCTTGCGAATTAGAGCGGTTTTCACTTGACTGTCGTAAAACCAAAACCAAAGCAAATACACTAGCCAACCAAAGGGCGTAGTGAAACCAAAACCAAACCAATTCCTCAATTACTTTCGACAGTCAAGTGAAAACCGCTCTAAGCACATTAAGGTCTTACCTATCGGCCTGTTACGCAGACTCTGTGCCGCGCCCAGTTACTTAGGGCAAGAGATACTTTTGGTAACTATTGATATTACTATCACCGCATTTTACCTTGTTTACGTGGTATGCCCTTGCATGTACACTTATGTCAGCTACATATTTACCAATATATATTTTTTTTGTTTACAGTGGAATGTTGTATATTCTCTTTGCCTTGCTGTTGGGAGCGGTTTGTAGTCGACATGCACTACTCGCAGATTACATGATCGCATCCAAGGTTTCCTTGGTCGGTGTTCTGTTCTTGTTTGGATTGTACATCTCCTCTCTCTCTTCCTGCCTTGGAGCGCAATATGGAGCCCCAAGAGTCCTACAGTGTATCAGCAAAGAAAATGTGTTGCCCATCATAAAACCACTAGGCAAAGGGGTACGTATTCTTGGCTTGCAGCCACGTGACAAGGAGGCCATGTTGGTGACAAAAAAATACTAACCTTTTTTTCGTAAGTCAACTTGGCGGCGGTGACGTCAGCTGAAAACCAGGAATTGCCACATTCACTACATTTTTTTTCCCGCTTTTTACCCTGCTCGTGGGTAACAACGATTCTTGTCTCGGCACAGTCAAGGCTCTAACCTTGACATCTTGTTACTTGCTAGATCTTCACATGTCCGTAATTGATTGTCAGTTTACACCTGTTACTTCGGAAACTATAAAATATTCCTTTTGCCTTCATGTCAATGTGATAAGTATGAAGTTCTAAAACTTCCTCTTACTCGGCGTGGTAAGGCCAATTTTTACGTGGTACATCAGGTGTAGGTCTGAATTTGAATTATGCACCCTCTATTACCTCTGTTGACCACTCGACACCAGCTTGAATATCCTACTTGCTCCTGTCTAGCCTCGTGTCTAAGTCGGTAGGGCAACGGTAGATCTAACCCGGAGGGTGTTGGTTCGATTCACACCGAGGACAAAATTTATTCTTTACCTTGCCGAATTGTCTCCTAATTCCCTCTATAAGGACGAACGCTAATTGAGGTTTATGGGTTTTCTAGCTAATTCTCTTTCCACCGTCAATAGTCTATACCATCATTTGTAACGTTAGACTTTGTTTGGTTTTAATTTCAGCATGGCCCAAACCAAGAACCATACTTGGCTTCCGTATGTGTAGCAATAATCGCGGCGGGCTTTATCATGATTGGCAACTTAAACGCCTTAGCTCCTATTGTTACTATGCCATTTCTACTAACATACGCTGCGATTGACTATGCGTACTTCAAGCTGGCCATGAGTTATGATATCAGAGAGCAACAGAAACTGGCTGGTATGAATAAGCCGCCTGACTCCCCCAAGACAGATGAAACTAAGCTCATATCATATGAATCTAAGGTACATTTGAATACACATCAACTGGAGCTCATTGTCCTAGAGTATAGCTTGCTCGAATGTTAACAAACATTGAAAAACATGTGCAAAGGGTAATGACGTCATTACTAATGTCATCTCCGCCAATCAGCATTTCGCATTGACTTTTTCGATGCAGATATTCAAATTCTAGAGACATAGTTGCAAGCTCTCCTTCCATTTTTCCCGCCCCACCACCAAAGCGCCCCGGAGAGCTTGCTCGCAGGCTAATACCCAAGATTCGCGGGGCATATATATTTTTTTCTGTCAATAAGTACTGTAGTTTGTGGCTAATGCATGATGACATATTTCTCCGAAAGCCTGGATTCCAGAGTCTCTGCTGCGTTCTTAGTGCGAACCTTCATGTAATTTGCCACTAACGGCGACGGAATTTTTCAAGCCACTGCCTTCAAATAGGTTACAGTACAGAAAACGAAACAATCTGGACCTCTTAGCAAATTCTCGCATAATTTTTCGCCGATTGTAGAATTTAAGTAAAAAATTCTTTCTGTTAACTTTCTGTTAGGGTGATGGCAAGAAAACAAGCTATGGTAGTGGATCTTTCGAAAAACATGACTTCGGAAATGTGGAATTTAGTCAACTAGACAACACCGAGAAAGATGACTCCACAGAGAAGGAAAACTTAGATAAAGACGAAGTGTTAGACAACACATCTCCACTGGATATGGATAATAAAAAACTAGAAACAAAACTAAACCTTGAAGATAAAGGCGAAGAACTAGACGAGGAAAGTACCAGAGATTCCACGCCGCTTTTAGAAAATGAGAGCAACCAGGTTAATATTAAAGAAGATAAACCTGTGGAAATAGATCATGGTACAGAAGCCCGCCGGAGGAAAAAAGGTAAGGGATTGCGTGCGTTTCAAAATCGCCGCGTGAAAGTGGGAACACTAAAAGAGTGCTACCCCCGAGGGAGGCGAGACGGAGATCTTCTCCTCTCCTCGCACGCGTTGCTTGTTTAGCGCGGGAAATTTTTTGTCCTACTATATTTCTTGTGGTAAAAAAAATGTTAGAGGGCTTCCGGGAGACGGAAGAGGCGGAAGAAGCAGCCTTGATCTCGTATTCCAGTTTTCAATTGGCTGTCGTCATCCTCAGTAAATGAAGTCGACTTATCTATTACGTTTGTTCGAGTTTGGGTGCGTAGAAAGCACCCGTAAGGTCGAAACTGGAATTAATTTCTTTAAGGGAATTACTGCCTCTCAAACACCTCGTTCTGCCAGCGTACATGGCAGGCCTAGGGGAAGAGAAAGGTTGTTTTTCGTCCAATTTGGCGTGCGAGAGCGAGTGCATAACCACCATCCGTTGGCTAGCGGTTGATAAACTCCCCATGGTTTTTATTTCCATACGTGTACGTGAACTGTCTAAAAGAACTGTGAACGGTGTAGGATATTATGGGTCTGTCATGATGAGGTGAACCTACAGGTTCAATCGCCTAGTATGCTCTTTAACAACTCACCCGTATTCTGAAATATTTGTATCTGTGTTCATTATAATTCAGAGCGGAAGAACGAGGATTATTATCACGAAGAGCACCAAATCAAGTGGGAGATAGAGAAGCAGCCAACTTCCTTCTATTCGGACCTGTGTAACCGATGGGTATCTCTGGCTGGGGTGAGTTTCCATTTTCACGCCGCATTTAAAAAATAATGTGACCGAGTGGACAAGGATTAGCACCGAGTCGGTTAGTGAGCGCCTTCTATGGAGGACTTTCCGAGTTTCATTCCCAGATGGGACCTCAAATCCTTCTTTCGACTTGACTTCTTTCCTCCCCGTGTAACTTAAAGTAGCTAGAAAATTCCCTTAAAACGGAACACTGTTAGAGGGAGGGGGGTAAATTGATGGCACCGTCGGCCTCAGGTTTGTGAGTTTAAGGACTGCTACGAGTTACCAACTATATTATTATTGTATTCAAGAGAGAATGATGGAACAGAAAAGCATGGCTTGCACGGGTCCTGAAAGGTCCTTGAAAAAGCGTCATGTCCTTAAAAAGTCCTCTAAAATTGAAAAATTTTGGCATATCCTTGAAAAGTCCTTGAATTTTCCACAAAAGTCCTGGAAAAAGTGTTTTGCGCAGAGGAAAGATTGAAAGGGCAGCAGTACGCAAATTTTCTTGGTGACCATGAAAGTGTGGTTTCATAGGATTTCAAAGTTCCCGGCATAGTTCATTTTCCGCTATTTGGAGTACACAAGGAACCGTGCCTACCTGGGGGAATCTATTGCAATAAGCAAACCCTCCTCTTTCTACGAATTTGAAAGGTCTTCATGTCATTCTATGTTAAAATAGAGGGAAAAGATGGCCTTGGAAAAATTATCTTAGTCACTGAAAAGTCCCTGATTTTTTCCCCTTAAAATTCTGTATGAACCATGAAAGGAACTCTTAGGGCGTTGGCCAGGATATGTGAATTTCACTAAAATTATTTTTATATAACTAAGCGAAAATCCAATTTCTTGGAAGTCCGCACATGTTAATCGATTGTTTGAAACGTCATCGAGCTACTGTCTCAAAGCAAACAATGCAGAATATTGTAATGGGTACACACCAAAAGGGCATATTTTCTCATCATATTCTCTTGACAACACTGAATAAAATTTTGCGGACCTCCTCGGATAAAAGTGATTAATTTCAATCGATTAATTGGTCTAAAATAACTTTGGTGAAACTCGCATATCCCAAAGGCTAGATCGGGTTCCTCTGTCCCATTATGTCCTCTTGGTGTATTATGATATTTTTGTTTGTACAATACAGGCCTTCGTTAGTCTACTGATAATGCTCCGTTGTAAATGGTGATTTGCACTTGCAAACCTGTCCGCAGCGTCGTGTACTTATATTCAGTATGATATTTGTATTTTCATGTTGCAGACTTTCGCCAGTCTACTGATTATGTTCCTTATAAACTGGGGATATGCGCTTGCCAACATTTCTGTGGCGTTATTAGTGTATATATACATCGGTCAGACCAATCCTGGGCTATCAAAAGGTAGGATTTTTTTGTTCTACGTATTACATTTTAAGTCCATGGCACACCTGCTAATAACTCAATAGGTAAGGGTGGTATTTTAAGTTTCATATTGAAAGGTGACGGTGAATCTAGCTACATGAACTTTTTCGGAAATCTTTTATCAGCTCTCAGTAAAACTTCAGTTAAGTCTAAAGGTACAATAGTTATAGTACAGTACAGTAGTACATACATACATACATTGAGTTTTTCTTAAACTACGAAGGATGAACGTTTATGCGTTCGCACATACGTTTTTACGAATTTATTTTATTTTTATTTTGTTTGATATGTATTTTTTTTGGTCTTGTACAACAGGTTGCGCCTCCGAATTTGTGTTCTCTAAGTGGGTGCAGTCTTTATGGGACAAGCTGACAAGGTTGGTAACCATTTTTGTTTACTCGATTTGCTCTCTGACGGGTTTGCCAATTTGAATCTTAACAAATGTTTGCTAAAACGCCACAAAATCTTATGTAATCTGACGAGTCTTCCGTAAGTAAAAGAGATTTAGCTCAATGGTTGTTCTCCTTAGAAAAAAGGCGAAGCAAAAGGCAGAAACATGTCTCTGACTCTGTTCTTTTCCTGTGTCGCCCGTTCTCCGCATTCGTACGTGCTGCAGTTCGTTTCATCTTATCACTCTGTTTTAGCTGTTCAAGCTTTCTTTCTGAGGTGACCATTTTAACATTAATTCCATCACGAGGAATATGGGAGTTTTGTATGACCTTTATTCAAGTTTAAATAATACGCGTCGCAACTGTACAAATGAAAGTAACTGATTGGGATGAAGTATCCGAAGGGAAGAAATTGAAGCAATAAGGAAACCGTAGGAGACGACTGTTAGCCTAAGGCGCCCGCCATGGCCATGAGGCACCAATTTCGCGAAGGAATAGTCACAGGGCCGACACTTGCTTACCCAGTCATACACCTTAGAGATTGAGTAACATGGAAGCTATTGCTATAACTATGGTCACGTAGCTTCTCTGCCTGTCTACCAAAATCTTGTGTGACATTTTCAGTGGCGGATCCAGACCTTCAGATAAACGGGAAGGGGGTTGGGGGGGAGGGGGGAAGTCACCTAGACGCTAAGATAAAGGGGGACCCGGTCAAAAAAAAATTTTTGTCGGCCCTTCGGGCCTCAGTTTGGTCTCTAAAACAAGGCGGAGGCGGGGGGCGAGCCCCTCCCCTGGATCTGTCGCTGATTTTAACTGTTGTTATCAGCTTTCACACTAAAGTTTGTCTGTGCAATTGATACAAACAGGAAAGAGTCTACACAACAACAGATTGTAGTACCAATCAGCGGGATTCCATATCAGATGTCGACCTATCAGCTTACGGAGGAAAACACTGACTTCTCTTACAGAGACAAACGGCATCATTCATCCATGGTAACCAGTATAGGCCCTCAGTAAGCCAGGGAGGATGGGTGGGGAAACAGAGTAAGCTGTTCAAGGATAGATGGTGGGGCAATGTATTTAAATTTCATAGAAAATATATGTTAAATATTAAGTTAGGTATACAGAATTCATTTTGTCTGCTTAACCCTTTCCCTTCTGAGAGAATATTTCTTGTTTATCGTCCTCGCCCATTGCTAATTACAATACGAACGCGCACAGAATAGCACACCTTTAAATTTTAAACACTTTTATATAACTTTTCTTGTTAACTTCTAAATCAGCAGCACATTATAAAGAGATTATTTAAATTGACAACCTTAGATTTGAAGCCATTAAGTAACGTAGTTTTTCAAGAGTTTATTGAAATTCAGTTTACACCCCTATAAATACGAAAAAATGATCGCCGGTTTTCAGCGCACCTATTCGTAGGATTGATGAGCAGCGTTTTTTTTTCCATAGCCACTGATTGACCAGTCATAGTTTTTTAAAATAATTAATCGAGCCGAGGCATCACAGGAGTGGCTTGTAGCTGTCACGTGTGTAGCCACACTCTGTACTAGTCACCAAGCCACACACTTTCTCTCTCGAAGGAAAATGGTTAAGTTCTTTTCTAACAAATCGATGTAAATAACGTTGAGGAGTTACCTCATTTCTAATAGATCTCTGCCGCAATCCTGTAAACAAAGGCACCAAATTGAAGCTTGGGTTGATTAGAGGAAATTGTTCGCCCAAGCTGCAAGGTTATTCTACTACTGGTTTTAAACTCTATTTATTATTATTATTTAATAAAACGTTAAGTTGTTGTGTTGACGAACGTTAACCGTTTGTTTGAATGGGATTCATGAAAAAAAAGAGTTTATTTTCTAATAAATTTAAGACAATAGAGAGGAGAAGTGTGACGTCACGTTACCATGGTAGCAAAATTTCTGGATCACAAAAATAGGGAGCTTGAGTAACGAAGACGGCGACGGCAACGAGACCGGCAAAAAAAGAAATAGTTTATATTAGCAAAACAACAACTTTGCACGTGCATCACGCTTTTTTGTACATTTCTTAGCAGTGGTTTCACGACTGCGACATGAAACTTCCTAATTTGACGCCCCTGCTTTATAGAGTAGGTGAGCACAACATAAAAATGTTGTTTTTCTTTTTCTAAACTTAGATACGGTCCCTTCGAATTCAACCGCAGGGAATTTCGCCAACTTTTGACAAATTAAATGAAATTGAAAAAGATCGATTAAGTTTGAAACAGTGCGAACTCACTTTTAAGTGACGTTTTCGGTTTTATCATCCAGAAATTTTGCTGCCATGTAAACGTGACGTAACGACTTCTCCTCTCTATCACGAGGACAAGCAACATACGCGGATACAGTTGAGAGCCCGTCATTAGCGACATGATACTTTCCTCCTTCCTACAGGCACTTGGCCTTATTTACAACAAACGAGTAAATTTAAGACCCTCCGTTAGCAAAGACCACGTGTCTGAAGGAAACGATGTCGAGGCTCTCTGGGGATGGCAATGATGACAGGCAACTGCGTATGCGTGTGTTGCTTTTCTTCATTCTCAACTTCAGAACCCTTAGAGGGCGAATAACTTGGGCCAAGAAGGGATCATGCGTAGCAATAAGGATCTATCTAGCAAATGGGAAGGGTTTGCGCTTACATTCCTCCACAAAGTAAAGTCTTCAGCGATATCTTTACCCCTTTTAAATTACCAATGAGATACAAAAGCAAAAACGTATTTAATTTACCTTCCATATGTACGCAAGGAACACAATGTAAAATGAACATGGTTTTATTTTAGGAAATTCGTTAAATGAGAAAACACATCACAATCAATCAACATATCAATTTGGCAGATATTATGATTAGTTGAATTTTTTTATTCGGTTAGGTTAGTGATTATCAAGAATCATAGAAAGGACAGCTTAAATTGGCATGAAAATAGTTATTATTTATTGGTAGTATGTAATGTGAGGTATGTATTATTATTATGCAGTCTATCGAGAAATCTTCTTAAGGACTTATTTCAGGAATATTATGAATGTCCTGTGCAGGATAGCAGGTTTTTATTTATATTGTTCATGCAAGAGATTTATTTTTGTTTTTCTATTTGTTTCAAAGGGTTAGGTATATAACAAATGTGAATGATATGACGAGATGAGAAAAATGCTGGGAAATATTATCGAGGTTAAAAAATGTGCAGAAGTTTTCATTTGTAGCGTTAAATAGGGTATTGTTAATAGACCTTTCCACTCGTTTTTTCCATTTTTTAATGGACAAGTTAAGGAAGATCCGTCGACTTCACTGGAAAGATCGCCTTTGAGTTAATAATATTGCCAAGCGTGAAAGTGATTTGTTGAAAACTAACGAAGCAAACTTACCCCCGCCTAATCCTAAACCCAACCCCCCCCCCCCCCCCCCCTTCAGGGACCTAAGGCCAAGGTCAAATATCGAGCTATTCTTGGTTTGCCACCACGTGACAAGGCGGCCATGTTGGTGGTCATTACAATAGGCCACTTCCGAGTTCCAAAAACCCTCACCTTCAAAATGAGGCCAAGTGTACAACCTTTCTTGTGTTAATGAGTTTTATTTGCATGAGAGTGAAAAATCATTTGCAAATCAAAGACTGAGCACTTAACCTTTTGATACATAGGCCTAGGCGAACTCGGAAATGGCTTATTCGCCACTTGCACATGTCCCATAATACACCTTATTTTGTTCATTTCTCCTGGGTATTACAACCGTCCCAAGAGAAATTCAAAACGATGGTTATGCAAAATTTGGGGCGGCAAATAAGGTGCATTATGGGACATGTGCAAGTGGCGAATAGAATTTTTTCTCGAAGAATTTACATGAAAAAGATGTTTAGTTCCCAGAGGAGAGAAATGCTTTTTTCCTTGATGATCAAATCCGTCCAGTGTAGTTCGTCTCAGACCCTGTTTACATGGAGTGGGGGAACCCGGTCTAGTCGGGTAGGTTTCTTTTGTTTTGTGTCCCCCAGAGCGTGAAAACAATAGAAACCAACCCCACTAGACCGGGGTCCCCCACTCCATGTAAACAGGGTCTCAGAAGTCTCATGAAAAGTTCGAAGTTCGACCTTGTCCTAAGAGACATTAATGAAAAGGAGAAAAGCTTTTAATTAATGTTGGACGTAAAGGTTAACATCTATTCAAAGGATTTTGATCCAAGCGTAAAAAATGGAAAGCCTATGACGACGCACAGGAACAAAATAAACTTGAGTCATCTCCGCTCTTTGTGTTTTGTTTTTATCTGATTAATCACCCCATTCATCAATATTCATCCCACTTGAATACACCTTAATTTAGTGTTGATGAGTCGAAGAATTAGTACAGGAAACTAAATTCACTGAGCATGAATGTATGAAAAATTACAGTGTTATTCAACGAAAGGATATTCATTCTATACATGCTTGAATTCTTGAATTAGGATAAAGCACTTTGCATCTCTTGATTGTGGAAAAATTAGTGCCAAAAAGCACCGCAAATGCATGTGGGCTTTTCAGTGTCTCATGAATTGAATTCGACATGATTCGAACACCTGCCTGGTTTCTTTCTTTTTTTTTTTTTTTTTCTTTTTTCTACACGGCGTTATGTCGCGCTTCCATCGTTTCCTATTAAAAACGCTCGAAAACGTCATAATTAAAATTTGATTTTTTTTTTGTTTTCCGGTAATGCATCTTAATTAAGTGTTCCGACTGCCTTTGTGGTCGTTACCATTCCCAAGTAAAACGGTTATTAAATCGTGGTCTTCTCGTAACCGGGCAATTTATCAATATTTCCTTTTTATTAATTTTTTCTTTCACTTGTGCGCACTGACCCTGGTGGACGATTATAGCTGCGCGTGGTGATCGACCGTCAATGTCCATTTTATCCAACGTGCGTTCCTGGAATACTACGTTTATATTTTGCAAGTTAGTGAAAGGTCAGTCCACTGAGCAATCTACCCAACGGAAACTTTAACACCAGTAGATTTTTATAATAACTGAGTTTTATTCACTGTCGTTTGAAAAGTTGACAAACGAGTCTCTTTCGGCACCATTTACTCAAATTTGTATATGCTTTGGGGGAGCTTGGGGGCTCCACAAACAACTCTGTCTTTATCGAATGAACGAGGTAGCGAAATAATTGTACGGATTAATTCGATTTGTTGTTGGACGTGAAGTACAGCTTAAGTTTATCTAACAAGAAGGGATCCTAAGACCCGAACAAAGCTGCACTAGAAAGATGGTTAAGTTTAACCCACGGTTAAGCGAAATTTTAAGCACCTTTTCTTGCTAAGAGCATGTAACTCACGCTCACAAAGTACTGTTATGGGCCTTTACTCTGCGACACCTGAGTAATGATTTACACAAAATGTTTTTCTAAGCAATGCATAGGAAGGTAAATACAAAAAGTGGAACGAAATCTTAATCCTGAATTAACGCTAATCGGGCTTTCAGGAACGGTGCCCTGAACGCTATAAACGTGTGTCGCGCTTTTTTGTACTGTTGCCCCCGGTACGACTACAACGTGAAAATGCCTATAATTTCACATTTTTTTGGTAGACATAAACAATCGACGAAGGAAATGTTCTTCCACTTTCTGAACTTGGATATGGTTCTTAGGCCCCGTCCTCACCTGTCCGGATATTTTGGAAACGGTGTTGTTTTCCTCCGTTTTAGCCTTCGGTCCAAACGTAAAAGGTGTTTTAGGACACCAAAAACGCAGGTTTTCGAAAGTGGTCCTAAGAGTGAATTAACCACGCCGGCTTATCGTGTTTTTGTGGAAGGCAGAAAACGGAGGTTTTTGAATACGACCATGTCATAAATCTTGCAGCTCAATGCCCTTTAAAGGATACTATCGTAATTCCATCATTTTATAGTTTTCGTGTAGACGGAGCGTAACGGTTCGAATACGGTTCGTGTTGACGCGTATTTGAGAAAACGGAAAAAAATCTCCATTTTCAAAAATATCGGAACACGTGTCGAATAGGCCATATAGAAACGCAACTCCAGGAGCGTCCCCTACATCATGTTGACAAAGTAGATGAGTTGAAACTGAATTGGCCAATCAATTCGAAAGTTCAAAATCTCCCCCTCCCCTCCACCCAGACAAACCGCGGGCATTTGATCATTTCTTCCGCCTGGGTAGTCGGCAGTTTGACTGTTGCTTGGGTAGGGTGGGGAAATTGGGCTGCAGGAAAAACTTAAGACTTGCCTTAAGGAAGCGTTTTAATTGAATTAGTCCTTTATATTTTAGTCGTTTCTATTCAAAGCTTTTTTTCTTATCATTTAGTTTTGTTATTTTTAATCGTTTCAATTTAATGTGATTTATTTACTGTACTTGTAATATTTTAAACATTCGTTTTAAAGCGCCATTAGGCATCGCTTGGAATGGAGCTATATAAAAAAAGTATAATTATGATTATGATTATGATTATGATTATTATTATTAAGTTTAATTTCTTTCTGCGAACCAGTGTCTGACTACGTAGTTCAGTAAATGCCATCTTGCTTACCTCCGGCCCCGATCTAAAATCGTGAGCGACGGAGTCGTAAGATCAGTCACCGTAAAAAAAAAGATAGCGTCGCAGCTGTAGCTCCGCTTCAATACGACTCCGATTTTGACTTTCACCAGCCCCAAGGACATAGGCGCTCTAAGACTGTCCGTGCGGAAACCAGAGGCTTACATCCTCGATCCCAGGTTTTTTTTCCTTTTTCTAAGGAGAAAAACCCTGGGAACGAGGTACATAATTATGTACCTTTTGTACCCAACAGTTTAACATTAAATTACTGAAACTGTCAAGTCTAACTGAGTACGATCTAAAGTCGTTTGAAATGCCGTCACTGATTGGTATGGCATCTCTCAGCAACATAGGAATTTCAAGCCTCTGACCACGTGATTCATCACGTGACCGCCAAAGTAATCATATATTTTTGTCGATCAACGTATCATAATGATTAATTGGTACAATTAAAAAGCTAAATTGTTACCTTTGTTAAAGTTCAAGGAATTTCGTTTTCAAGTTGTCTTTTAAATGGGTGATGTACAAATCAAACTCTTTGGCTACACGGGAGCATTTTTCATAGCTAGGCAACGATAAGCTATCCTCACGATATCTTCTGTGTTATATGTTACTTAACTGTAAGTCTTGACGATTCTATCACAATTTACCTCAGGGCAGACGCAGACGCAGACGCAGAAGTATTTCCGCAGTCGTTTGGCAAAGTGCCACCTACATGTTTAAGTGTTTGTCGCATGCATTTACTTGTATAAAAAGGTGTTGTTGTTTGTTGTAGGCGGCAAAATTCCTCTTAAAGGTAAGCAACACAAAGTATGGTTGCATATTATATATAAGAGGGAGCTTAAGATATCACGACGGCAGCTGCAACGACAACTTCCAGTTAACTTAAAAAAAAAAAATAGTTATTTTAAATAACAAAGCAACAACTCTGCAAGCGCATCACGCTTTTTTGGCACATTATACTTTACCAGCATAGCACGACTACGACGTGAAATTGCCTCAAGTCTAGTTATGGAGAACGTAAACCCTCGACGAAGAATTTCTCTTTCTAATTTTGAAACTGAATACGAATCTTTCAAAACTAACCCCAGGAGAGTTCGACTAAATTTGACAAAGACTGGGAGTTAAAATAAAAGCAATAAAGTTTCAAAGAACGCGTTTCGCTGCCGTCGCCGTAGTGCCATTATCTTAAAACTCCCGAATATTACGAGTTGACAGGCGTTTATATCAAAACTTGTCCCCGGTTAGCCTGCCCAACAGACCGAACTAAACTTCTGGTCCTCGGTAAAGTTCGTAGTTGTGTCTGTTTGATTTGATTGAAGGTGTTATTTATATTTTTGTTTTACAAACACTCTAGTCTCGCGGAAAAGAAAAAAAAAACAAGACATGTTCTTGTTTTAATACACTTTTGGTTTTCCTTGCACGAACTCCAGTCGCGATGCCTAGATGCCTAGGGCATGCAAGATCACATGCACAAACACACAACATCAGTTCTGAAAACAAACACATTACAAACCAAACTGTACCATAAATCGTCGTTTAATTGATTTTTCCTTTTGCTTCGCTATCAAGGGAAATGAATTAAACATTTCTAAAATATAACTGATGTTCATACCATGGTAATCACTTTCAAATGGTCCGGAAGAAAATGTTTCTTCGACCGCATCGAATTACCGAAAATAGAGTACATTAGTAAGGCAACAATATACCAGTCTGACCCTGGTCTCCGTACATTGTCGGGATGTACGCTTTTCGAGGACTTTCAGAAAACGTCACGGACATATTGTTTTATCGATAGAAAAACTAAAGCAGACACTTTTACGAGAAAAAGTTGTTTAATTTTACCTGCGTGGGAGGCTATAAGTAAAGCGGGGTTGTCGACACATGTCAAATGGAAAATGTTCTCGTTTTGGCGGTATTTACCAGTGTCCGTATTAAGCGGGTTAATTTAGAGAAACTGTGTGAGCCTTTCGCCGGGACAAACGAAATTGTCTTGCATACAGCTCTTTCGAGAAAGGTTGTTGGAAAAAATGTGCACGGGACAATCCCGAAAGGTAATATGGGATATGATCAGTGCACTGTTCCTGAGAGTGAGACTGTAGCTGTCGAACCTACTTTTGTTGCTTTCTTTTAGCACTCGCAAAAATTAGTCCATGGCCTCTTGTGCCATTTTTTCACATTTCTTTGAAGAAGAGTGAACTCAAAACCACCTACAGTACCTTTCGGGATTGTAAGTGGGTGTCCGAAAAGCGAGGTTCCACTGGTGTACTGAAAACTGACATCCAATGAACGACAAGTTTGTTATTAGAGCGCTGTGAGTAGATTCCCTTAGCCTAGTGGGATTGGATAATCCACCTACCAATCAAATATTTTGGATTTGATGAAAAAATTTATAATTCGTCAGGGGGGTTCTCGATCATTTTATTTTTTCATTTTTACTAGTTTTTATTTATTATCAAACCCGGATTATAAGCAAATTGTATGGTCTTGTTTTGTGTAGAAAGAGTCAGTTTTTAAAAACATGGGGACTCAGTCTGGTTTTTCCAGTTTAGAGTTTCTTCAGCAGACAGAATTCCGTAAACACACAGTGAGATTTAAAGACCTTGAAACTTTCTTACGGTAAATATTAATCTGCATTTTTGACGATTGGCGGTAAAAAAATAGCCTTTTTTGACGATTGACGATTAAATTTTAGGCCTTTTGACGGCTGACGGTTAGCCCCATTGAGACCGTCATGAAGAGGCTGGATGGCAGCGACGCAGTGAAGTGTTTATTTTAAAGACAGCTTGACCACTACTCCGCCGCCTGGTTAGCTCCTGTACCCTGCAGTTTGGAGAGCCCCGGTCTGCTGAGCGGAAGGTCGAGGGTGCACTCAGGGTCTTAAATAACTGAGGAGAATGTGCTGCCTTTTCAATGACATCTGTAGGCTGCAAAACCGTCGGTTTCGGTTTAGCATAGCTTAAGAGTCTCACACGTGCAAAGCGCACGAGCCTCACACGCCCGTAGCGTCTCTCCTCAGTCTTGGTCTTTGTTTTTAGCCTAGCTCCGGACATTTTGTTTGACTGCTCGTGCGTATTTGAATACGCAAAAATACGACCTGTTTTTGCGGCCTAGGACATCTGTAAACGGTTATACTTTCTAGTCTTATCGGATAAGGACGAAAAACCGTTTCATAGCACTTTCACTTATCTGGTTCTTGTGAGACGTAAAAAAACCCTCACCACTGTTCGAAAAGAACAAGGGACGTAGACCCCGGTGGTGTGGCCAACCTCTCCTATTAGCCTGGGCTTGGTGGGTTATCTGTAAGGACACAATTAAATTGGCATCCCGCTCCAATTTGTGTTCCGTACCATATATATGGTAGAGGGGATCAAATAAATACAAATAATGCTGTCAGTCAAAACATGCATTACTTGGGCGTTTGCGGAGCATTTTCAAACCAAACCTTCCCTAAAGCCTATTTCTTATTTTATTTTATTTTTGTTTTACAACAGATAGAGCTGAAATAAGCTGTAGCTAAAAGATGGCCGAATACAATGCACATTGTAAGCAGCTGTCCTCTTTCATACTGTGGGAGACTGAAGCTCTTTTCAAAACCAATGATGTCGTTTTGTGCACAATAAACGCCATCAGCGTAGCATTTGCCATATTAATTAATCTACTCATTGCGATTGTAATGAAGAAAAAAGACTTGATTAAGACGCCATGTCACATTCTGGTATTCAGCCTTACTGCGATTGACTTGGTTGCTGCCTTGGTACCCAAGCCTTTATACATTGACCTTCGATTAGCTATTTACCGTGAACACGTGACCTCCTGCTCGCTAAATCGTAAGGCAAGAGTGACTGAGTCAGCGATTATATTTTGTGTTGGTTGTTCTTTTCTTCACTTGGTGTGCATTGCTCGGGATCGCTGCAATGCTCTTTGTCACCCTGTACGTTACAGAACGCCAGGAAAAATGAAGGGTGAGCATCATAATCAGAAGACATGTTGAATTCTGCAAAGAGCTGATCGTACTGCATGAAAATTAACTTTGCAAGATATTAACGCGACACCGAAAGATCCCAAAACAGAGCAGGGTTGTAGCCGTCGACAGCTGTTTCTCAATTATTGTAGCTCGTCAAGACTGCGTAACAAACAGAGAAGCTCTACTGAAAAATAACCCACTCACTCTGATTTAAGCTCTGACATGGAACTCCCAACAGCCCCAGAATCACGCCATATCACGTTTCTCCAGGAGGGCAAGAGTCCAAGTGTCGCGTTAATGTCTCGCAACGAAAATATATATGGGATGGTAGTGCGTCAATTTTATAGATCCGATATGCTGTACATTTCATGGTTTGGTTGGTTTGGCCATCCTATATTTTCTTTGCGAGACATCAACGCGTCACTTGGACTCTTGCCCTCCTATCCGGCGATACGTATTACGATCAGCTTTGCAGAATTCAAAATGTCTACTTTGTATACTTTTCCTGATCAGGTCTTCTTTGAGATCCTACTTTCCTCGGCATATTCGTTTGCGGTCCTTTGCAGTTCATGTCAATTTATCGTAATCAGTGCCTTTTCAAACTTCCCTTCGACAGGGTTCTAACCACGTTTGAACCACGTGACCACACTTTATGATCATCATCATCATCATAATTATTATCGTCGTCGTCGTCGAAATCATCATTATTATCATTATCAATCATCATTATTTTTTATGAGATTTTCCACTTGCGCACGAGTTAGTTGACTATATATTCAGTAGACGCGCAGTAAACTGAAATTGATAACGAATTCGTGAGGTTAATTAAGTTTTGACGGGGTCCACAAAAGTGAACAAAAAAAACAAATTGAGACGATACATACACACACACACACAGAGGTAGACAGTCCCTATCAATATTTTAAATTCAACTTAGCTAGCCTCGTAGTAACAACCACCCTGCACCAAAGACGGAGCAAAAACGTATGTGAGACATTGGCGAAATCCCTGTGTTCTTGGCACTGGGCAAACACCTGTTTATCAGGATTTGAGTGCACGCCATGATTGGCCTGTTAAAAAAAGCATTGTCAATTTGCCAATCACGTTGAAGAAAAATTCGAAACGCATTTTCGGTAATTTGATGAATCTTTTAGGTGCCCAGAACAAGGATATATCGACACTGCAGCGCAGACGTTACTTGCCCGGGTTAGATTGCGTATGTAACGCAGGCTACGTAACAAACAAGTAGTTGACAATACACCTGTTTACTTTGTGTGTTTTGTTTTCCCAATTCAGACCACGTAATGTTCTCCGGGGACTTTTCCTTTTGTCTTTTATTAATTATGCATAAATGGGCACATGGAAGCACGTGCATACGACGAAATTTGAAAAGAAAAACAGTTCTCTGGGGTACCATCACGTAGTTTGTGGTTTAGATCATGTTGACAATCCTGCTTTTAAATGACATTCATAGTTTTACCGACAGTTTTACCTATATACGGCGGGGAGAGAGTTCTTCAAACAAACAAATATGCAATTACGTACAAAGTAAATGTTAAATTTACTACAATGCCAGAGCACTAGTTTTAAGTGGAATATCTAATGCACAGGAATAATTTTTCTAAATAATAACATTAAATAAGTCGATAATATATGACTAATAAAACACAGGCAAAGAAAATTATAGAGTTATATCAATTTTGTCATTTTTGTTTTTCCTAGTGACCACCTGGTTAGCCTGTGGTTGTTGGGTTACCTGGGGCATAATAGTTGTGCTTATTGAGTCAGGCGTATTCGCAGAACGGACTCAGTTGGCAATCAGAGGTTCCATTGCAGTGCTGTTGCTAGGCTCCCTAGCAATATATCAAGTCAAAACCATCTTGATCGTCTTCCGTTACAATCATTCTGTGATAAACGACATCAATTCACTGGAGGTTCAACGATTAGTGATGAGAGAGAAGAAAGTTTTGACGGACACGAGAATCACCTTGGCAATTTTTTCACTACTGTTTATACCAACAGCTATTCTAAGCGTTACACAGCCGTCTGGTTTGTACGCTAATGTCGTGTTTCCCTGGTCAATGGCAATCACACTTCTTAACTCCTCCATAAACCCTTTAATTCAACTATGGAGAAATCGCAGGTTATTAAGAGTTATAACTGAATCTTTATTTGGAGGGCTAACGAGACCTTGAAGCCTTTTCGGTGCTAAACTGAACTAAATGTACTACTTTATGTGAGAATAAGCTCAAAATCGAATAACATATGACACTTTGAAGTTTCTTAACACTAAACATTACATAGAAGATGTTTGCTTCCGACTAAGTCGCTAAGGTTATTTTTTTTTAATCTTAGTAGATCGAGCAGTTTTTTGAAAACAAACCGAGCAAAACTACCAGCCATTTGAGTGAAAAAGGAGTGTGACGTAACGTTACCATGGTAACAAAAGTTCTGGATCACAACAATACGGAGCTTAAGCAACGACGACCGCGAAGGCAACGAGAATGGCAAAAAAAGGAATAGGTTATAGAGTGGTTTTCGTTTGAGTGTCGTAAAACCAAAACCAAAGTAATTACTCTGGCCAATCACATAGGACACAGACAATACATTGAACCAATCAAAACTCGAAGTAATTACATGCGGCTGACGCAAAGCGCGGGAAAATGCATGCGAGCGCGTCACAGTTGGCTTTGGTTTTACTTCTGATTGGATGAAAAGGTGGCGCGAATCTTTTAAGCCAATCGCATCGTGTAGAAAGTGCAAAACCAATTACTTTTCGACACTCAAATGAAAACCGCTCTATCAGCAAAAAAAACATTTTTGCACGTGCATCACGCTTTTCTGCACATTTCTTAGCCGTCGTTGCACGACTGCGACGTTCGACATGAAACCTTCTAATTTAACGCGCCCCCTTGATGAACACAATACAAAATTTTCTTTTTTTTTATTTTTAACTTAATTAGATACAGTCCTTTCGGATTTAACCCCAAAAAAGATTGCCAGCATTTGGCATATTAAGTGAAATTGAATGCGATCGATGAAGTTTGAAAAAGTATAAATTATCTTTTTAAGTGAATTTTCGGTTCCTTGTCGTCCAGAAATTTTGCTACCATGGCAACGTGACGTAAAGACTTGTCATCTCTATTAAAAAAAAAAAAAAAAGAAAGAAAATACTTACAGACATGTCTTTGAAAACTAGCTTGCTCATGACAACCTCTCGCATGTCAATCATAAACAAAGGACTGCCGCACCAAACGAATTTTTAGATTCTTGTGTTTTTTCGTGGGTCTTGATGCAGTTACCAGCTACAATATTTCATAAATGATGGCCAAGAGAGAATGAGGTTCGTGAAGGCAAAGAACGAATTTTATTTTTTTCCTCCCCGATGCGGCTACTGGATGGGGTTAACTTATAAAGTGAGGTGATAAATACTTGAACTGAGTATAGTTAGTACGTTGATATTTTCTTTTCAATTGGCTTTTGGCAAATAGGGCAAGTTTTAAGCTGCTCCGCACAGCTGTGACACGTCCCGTGTCCGCAAAGGAAAATAACATTCTTTTTTCTCTCGACGCAAATGCAGCACACAAAAGCCTCCTCCAATTTCCGCATCTTTCTTTCCAGCAACTGGTATTTTGCTGTAAGTGATTTGTCGTTGATTCCGATTATTGGTGTGCCATCTAATATCAATAAAAATAAAAATAATTCATTAACTTGTGGCTTCTTGCCACGCCGACGCCGAAGCAGGTAATGGAAAAAATGGATGACAGTCAACTTAAAATATAAACCACTCTCATTTTGGCGGCCCATTAATTAATATATTCTTTTATATTTATGATAATTAACCTTTCTGACCTCGTTAGCATTTGCAAAATACAAAAGAATTCTTACTTTCAAACAAGGTCAGAAAGGCTAATTATCAAAATTTAAAAATAATATATCAATAAGCTGCCATTGAAAAAGAGGTCTATACGGCAAGAAGTTTTCCTTTCACTCAGATAGTACATAGTCATGAGGACTTTAATATCTTGAGGAATGTTTTACAATTGATCAGGTTCAAACCAAACTTGACTACGGGCGCTTACCACTTGCCATAACTGGCTGCCGAGACCAGTTCAGTCGTGAGGAGAATGCCGCTATTAACCAGGACCATCCAGCGAAATAAGGTTATTCTTAAAAAGGCGCGCCGGATTAGCCTAAGAAACAGCCGATATTTCGCGACGCCACTACCGGTTTGAAGCAAATTTCTCACGACCAATCAGACGCACTACCCAGATCTGGGTAGCGACTCGACATCAGTATGGAATTTTTGCGCTCGTTTTTTCTGACGTCATTTCGCGGAAAAAGCAGTGGTGGCATCGTCGGCTGTCGGCTGTTTTCTTAGGCTAAAATAGGATGCACAGCAGTAATGGGTTTTAGCAAGAGAGGATAACTTGGTTTTAGTTAAAAGTGCTCCTCCACAAAATTTTGAAATTTCAAAGCCCTACAATGCGATTTCCAGCGTTCTGGGGTACCGAAAAGAGTGTGTTTTTCACTGAGGAAAATATTGCTCTGGTTTAAGTTTTATCAGCCACACAACCAACTCCCACAAGCAATGATCAAATGACGATAACTTAATTACATACATTTGCAGATGAACAAATTCTGCTTAAACCTAAAATGAAAAATCGCGGACTGAAATGCAGCGTTCATATAACTAAAGGCATATGTAAGACAAGTGGACCTTTATGAAAACACAACAATTACGTTTCATTCAGATTTTATGACTAAATCTTTTTTTTAGGACATTATAAAAACTACTTGCTTCTTCTTTTGGAAAAAAAAACGACTTCTCTAAGCAAAGTAGTCGTCATGTTTCGTCGGTCGTCGGTGCCTATTGAAACCCCTGACTTGGATTCCAGATTCTAAACGTCAGTAGGATTCCAGATTCCAAAACTAAGGATTTCGAATTCCAGGATCATAAATTTCCGGGACTCCGGAATCCGGACTACCTTACATGGGGCGAAGCGCTAGTGTATCATTGCTTGCTAGGGATCATAAAACGTTTCTGCGAAACTGCCCATCTACCCCTCCCTTAAGCGAACATTAACACTTACTTCTCACTTAGGGCAAAATGTTGGCTTAAGGGAAGGGTAGGTGGGCAGTTTCACACAAACTTATAGTGATCCGCGTTTAGTATACAGGTACAAGAATGGTTCTACTAAGAAAATAATGATAATGAATTGAACCATGCATACCTCTTGTTGCTTTCCCTGTTATTTCTACGCGGCACTCCAAGCATCGCTTTAGGCGAGATGCACATTCTAGTAGACAAAATCAATTTAGTCATCCAATGTTAAAACAACATGCAGAAGGAACTGTTATCAGTCCTTAGCTCGTGTATTAATTCCAGTGGCGACGATGGCCATCAACAACAACATAATGTCAGCATTACTGACATCATCAAATGTGGGAAATAAATTAATAACATTAATGATACGACGAACATCACCCATCCAGTTTATAACCCCAAAAGACAGGGCTTAACTTGCTTGGGAGGCCCTAATCCTCACGATTAGTACTCACGAAGTTTTTCGAGACTTTTTTTCTAGTTACCTGTGCATACAACAGTGTGGCCACAGGGCTTAAACGCCACTTCAGCTTCATTCTCCTCGCAGATGTAGCACTTTGGTCTCTCTTCTTTGCCTTCTACCTCTTTTTGTACCTCGTTTTCAGTATTTTCTACAATTGTCTGTGATTCTCTCTGCCTGTTTGTTTGGTTAGGCTCTTGTTCCCCTTCTCCAAATTCCTGATCTGCACCGCTATCATTCACTAATTCTCCATTATTCAACTCCTTCACCTGAACGGCTACATCTGAGCTGCTGTTTGAGAATTCCACGGTGAAAGATTCTTGTGGCACTTGATTTGTGACTTCCAGAACAATATTCTCCTACAGAAACAATGAACAAAACAAAATGCACCCTGACGTTTGGAAAACTCGTTGGAAACTCATGGTGGCAAAGTTTCAGAAGACAGTGAAGAGCTCTGAACCAAAGAACGCAGATTTTCTTTATGTTAATGGACAGACAACATATACGATGCTTTCTTTGGTTTCAAAAGAAACAATTCTGACACTTCTGGATCTTGATATTCATTCATATAAAATGGACTCAATAAGTGATACTTCGCCCCTTGTAAGGGAATCCAGATTCCGGAATCTGCCAAATTTTTCCCTGTGGACTCAGGAATCCTTGGCTTTAGAATCCGGAATTCAGCTCAAGGAGTTCAGAATCCCGATAACGATTGGAATCCCGAATCCAGTACCTGGTATCTGGAATTTATAGAGAATCATTGCCTGTCTTAGATTACCTTTCATGGGGTAAGATAACTACTTCTACCTCTCCATCAGACGATCTTAAGATTAAACATATTTTAAATCAAGGCCACGCAAAACCTGCTTCAGTTCGGTATGCGACAAACGCAGACTGCAGACTTGAAGACTGATATCATATGTTGTCGCACACCGGCTTCAATTGGAGTTATTCTGCTCAAAGGATTCATTTGTATACGTATAAATAATTTTGTACTTGTTACCTGAAATTGCTCCATGGTATTGCCCAGAAGGTTGTTTTCTAGAGGTTCTTCTTTCAAATTTTCTTCTTCTTCTTCTGTTTCTTGCATATTCACTTCTTCATCTTCATCATCTTGTAGCATTGCGCTGCCTGGGCTTTGGTGCCCTCTATCATTGCATTCTTCATCCTGAACAACGTTCTGGTCATCTCTTTCTGAAGGTGCCTGTCCTTGAGCCTCCATCCCCGTGGTCGCTGAGCCACTGTGACTTGAAACATGAGATACGTTTTGCTCTGGGTTTGTAACCTTGGTGCCACCAAAACTTGGAACTTTTTTAACTTGTGCGTTTCTGGAAAGGGCATAAAATTCATTACCTAATGATTAGGGCATATAATCATTTTAACCTGGCAAAGTTTCGAACACTAAGGAATATTCTAATGCTTAGTTTTCCCATCAGTCTTGATCTTGTTACGTAAGCACCAGGATGGCGTGGGTTCGAACCCCACTCTTGGTATTCATTTTTACTTTAAATTCATCTTAGTATTGATCGTGTACATAGATAGTTAGAGTTGATAAGCAACCACTCGCCACGTAAGCACCAGGATGGCCGAGAGGTTAAGGCGTTGGACTTAAGATCCAATGGACGTGT